CATTGGAATAGCAATGTAATAGCAATTCAGCACTATCAATCATTATCTATAAACAACTTGCCTTATTTCTTAATAAGTAATAGCAGTTCTCCTATATGTCAGTGATTGATAGAAAATTTCCTCACTGATGAATACGAGACTTGAGACAATGGAGATGTTGTTCTACAGAAGGATGCTGTGAATGCTAAAGATGTGTTTATCAAAGAATTTAAAAAGAAAATCAAAACAAAAAAGAGGCTTATATTTAGGATTAGAAAGAGATAGTTAACATTTCTAGGAGATATAATGAGGAAAGAAAGCTTGGAAAATTTGACACTCACAAGATATAAGGAAGGCAAAATGGACAAAGTGAAACAGCAGGTAACAGAAGAGAGACGAGGAGGGATAAAAAGGTAAGCATTAATAAGAACTATTAACGGCCTGAAAGGACACGGCACACGGAAGAAGGAGAAGCAAAAGAAGAAGAAAAAGATGAAGAAAAAGAAGAAAAAGAAGAAGATGAAAAAGAAGAAGACCAAAAAGAAGAAGACCAAAAAGAAGAAAAATAAGAAGAAGAAGGAGAAGAAAATGGCGATGAATTTGAAAATTTTTCGAATCATTCCTATACATGTGTATTTGTGTGTTTAAAATGGAAATGAATGAAGCGCCAAGTGTATCATATTATTATTTTTATTTCCTTTGATTTCTGGCGTTTACACATTTCTTTCCGGGTCCCGCCCAAAGACCTAAGGTTAGAAATGGCATCATAACACTTTCCACTGACAAAAAAAAAAAAAAAAGAAAAAAAAATTTACATAGATAAAGCCCTTCGTAAAGTGTGGGCTGTACTTGTGAGAACAATTTTTTGTATTTCTTTGAGGTATGGGCTTCTAGAAATCCTTTCAATGAGTCTATTGGAATCTTTTCCACCCAATCCGAGGGCTCCAACTACAACAGGGATTGTTGATGTTCCGATGTGCCATATTTTTGAAGATTTTCAAAGATACATTGCAGTCCTGCAGGGACTGCCATATCAATAAGGAGACAATTTTTTGGTTTGCGATCTCTAAAAACGATGCCTGGGCGATTAACTTTGATTGTTTTGTTTATGTTTATTGTGTATCCCATAAAATTGTCACAGGTCCTATCTCCGTAACCGGGTCTGGGTGATTTTCCTACCAATTTATTATTATTATTATTATTTCTTACGATTTCAGCTGTATAAACATTTCCTTCCGGGTCCCGACTAGAGACGTCAAGTCAGAAATGGCATCATGACATTTTCCCCTGAGCAATTAAAAAAAAAAACAAAAAACAAAAAACAAAAAACACACGCATATTTCACATAGACAAAGCCCTTCGTCATGTGTGAGCTGTATTCGTGAGAATATGTTTTTTTTCTTTAAGGCATTGGCTACCAGGAATCCCTTCAATGAGTCTATTGGAATCTTTTTCAACCAATCCGAAGGCTCCAACAACAACAGGGATTGTTGATGTTCTCATGTGCCATATTTTTGAGATTTCGATTTCAAGGTCCTTGTATTTTGATAGTTTTTTGAAGATCTTCAAAGATCCATTGCAGTCCCGCAGAGACTGCCATATCAATAAGGAAGCAACATTTTTGTTTGCGGTTCTCTAATAACGATGTCTTCGCGATTACCTTTGATTGTTCTGTCTGTGTGTATTGTGTAGTCCCATATTATTATTATTATTATTATTATTATTATTATTATTATTATTATTTCTAGAGGAAAAGGCGACAGCGACGTGTCGCGATTTGGACAATTGTATGTCGCTGTTTGCATTCTTTGTCAACTAGCTGTCAGAAACTGGGACTTTCATGGCATAATAATGCTATGTTGTCATTCTTTAGTGTAAAAATAGGAAAAAAAATTCTATAATAACGTGACCTTTTGGAATCACACATTTTTGTAAGCGAAGCAATGGAAATGTTATTTTATTTTTTTTTATTATTTCAATTTGAATTCAAATCATTTTATCCCGATTCCTCGGTAGCATAACTCTAATACGATAGATATTTGCTGGGACTAAATTAATATATATGTTATGATGACCTGATTTCCATAACACAGTAAAAACGATACCTTGTAGCGGGACCTTTTTTTAGCGCAATAACGTTGAACCGCTCTTATTGAATAATACAATTTCTTTTCCAATTTTAAACTTAATAATAATAATAATAATAATAATAATAATAATAATAATAATAATAATAATCATACCCTCGCTATAATTGGAAAGCATCCCTGGCAGGCAATTAACTAAAGAAATACAAAAAACATGTTCTCGCAATGGGTGTGATCTTAGGATGTTTATTTTTATTATTATTATTATTTTTACTTATTTGTCTATTTATTTATTTATTTAAAAAATGTCCAGTGGAAAATGACATGATGCCATTACCGACCTGATGTCTCTGGTTGGGACGCGGTAGAAAATGCCTATACAACAGAAATCAAATAATAATAATAATAATAATAATGATAATAATGAGAAGAAGAAGAAGAAGACAAGAAATTCAGGAAGTGTATGTTTATTGACATTGCAGTACCATCTGAGAGAAATATCTCCATAAAAATTATCGAGAAACTCTCCAAATACAAGGACCTGGAGATCGAGATTAACAGGATGTGAGGAATGAAGTACCAATAGTAATCGGAGCTCTGGGCATCGTGAGAAAAGGAATGGACAATTTTACGAACAGTGTCCCAGGTAACATCGACATACAGAAAATCGCCCTACTTGGTACATCCCATATACTAAGAAAAGTCCTGTCAATTAAATGATAATTTTCATATAGGGCCTAAAAACTAGTTTGGACCCGGCTCTACAGGTCTACAGACTATAAAGCAGGAATAAATACATAAATAAATAAATAAATAATAATAATAATAATAATAATAATAATAATAATTATTATTATTTCCTTTAATAATGATAATGCGTGTGTTTGTTTGCGATTATCGCAAATGACGCAATTTTTAAGGGAGATTAATCCAGGTATTTTAAATTCTCTTATAGAATAGTTTTCCATAATTATTCATTCCACTTATTTATTTATTTTTTTTTGAGAATACCCGGTTCTGTAAGTTTAGATGTGCGGGCAATGTAATGGATAATGGCTAAGAATTTTAATATCTGTTTTAATTTTAATATTTCTGAGATGAGATATTATGTACACTATTTACATTAACCCTAACCCTATTGTCCTCATCTTTGTCGCCATATTTATTACAGTTCTACACTGCCGGCCTTCTTTAGGTGTTTGGAATGCCGAACCGGAACCTTTATTTCTCTCACTGGGGTAGACTGTTCTAGTTCCACGTGCCATGTCTAATGGATGTCAGTTATCAGTAATCTCCTACTTAATTCCCTCTCCAAGTTCTCCAAGTTATTGAACTTACACGCATTGGGTCCGTTCACTGGATCTAACTAAGGCCTTTATCCACTGTGACATGTGTCCTTGAGGAGATCTGTGTATGAATTTCTTGGTATTATAAACTTAATGTCTTCAGCAACCATTTTTTACCAATGCTCATATTGCAATTTTTGCTGTTATCATTGCATTTTTTTTTTTTTTTTACCAGAGTTCATATTGTTATTATCGCCTTTCTCTGGCACTCCTTATTATTGTTTCCCATATTGTATTCATTTCTACGCTTGGTCGACTCAGGAGATTTTTGTGGCCTAGCATATGTGCTGATTTCTTTAAGTTTAGGAATTTTCCAATGATGTTTTTTGTCTATGATCTCACCCTGATCCCACAGGGAGCAGTGATCTTTTTTTTCGCTCTATATGTGGTCAGCCACGCCTGATTTTTCCATTTCCCCTCGTGTTACAGCTTTCTGGTGTTCTTGAAGTCTTACCTTAAGGGGGCGGCCTGTCCCCACATTATAGCAGCTGCACGGGTTGGCGTACACGCAGTCTTTAGTCATGTTCTCCTCTATGGGGGGGGTCTTACTCGGGAGAGATATCTGCTAGGAATTTTTAATCAAAGAACCAAATTCGCATTCCAGTTGGACTCACTATATTTACTTACGCTAAAATAACATTAGGAAATGTATAAATTCACATCTTCTTCCCCCCAGATATGGGTTAATTAGTAAGAATTGTATCATTAAAACCATTATTACCATTAAAAAATAAAATAAGATAAAATTGCGTACAAAATATATAGATTTCGGCATCAAATAACCCAGAGAGGTGTTGGTGTGCCGCTAAAGAAAAACAACCAACCCACATACCCAAATGGAAATTGTCTACCACTTTAAAATTAGAACACGACCCTCAGAGACAGGAAGACAATAATCATTTTTTTTTATTGTTCTTTCGAAATCTTATAAGGTTAAAACATTGCCTTTGCTCGAACTGCTAGGCATACCACTCAACCAACGAAATCTTAATAATCTCAGTTTAAGCTAATATTCTCTGTAGGTCGTCATTGTTGAGTAAAGAGGAAAACTCGAACTTACAGGATCATGGGGTGAGCAGGGGACGCAGGGTTAGACTTGCGTCAACAGCGAAACAAAGACGGTGTCAGGTTCGACCTATTTAAGGGGACATAAAACGAGCCTGTCGCTAAGAATGACGAAAATGCTCCTTCCGAGAACTGGCTTCTCTCGATTTCAATTTTAATTCTGATAAGATTTTCTAAGTACGGGACAAGGCCAAACGGTCGAGGGAATGGGGGGACAGGAATATCGTATTTCAGCGAATAGGCTGGGCTCGTCTGAACCCCCACCCCACAACCAAATCAACAAGTGACATTCCCGATTTTAGAAGGATTCGAACACCATTGTCATTGGTGAGAAATATGTAACTTAGAGATTTAAGCTTAAATCTCTTAATATGTAACTTAAACTTTTAATCTTTTTATTTATTTATTTACTTATTGTTTTCTCATTGCATGTGAAACATACTCCCTCCCTTTTTATTGTCTACTGTTTCTCTTAGGTTCTCTTCCTCTCTCCTATTTCTGCTTTCTTTGTTTCTTTTTCTTTATGACCTTCATAATATTTGTCTTCAAAACTTTCTATCTTCATCTTATCACAATTTTTCTTTCTTTCTTTCTTTCTTTCTTTCTTTCTTTCTTTCTTTCTTTCTTTTCTCCGCTTTCTTTCAGTTTTCCCCTTGCGGCTCATTTCCTCTCGTCTGTTTTTTCCAATCTTTTTGTTTTCCTTTCTAGACATTTTCCCAGTCCCGTCCATTTCCGTCAAAAATATGTCAGAACCGCATTGGGAGAAAATAACTTACAGTTATGTTAATTTTTTTTTAAAGTTCATTCATTTGGTCACGTGTTTCTCTTATTTTTAAACGACGCCCAGACATTTTTAAATAATTTTAAATGAAATTGCTTTTATCTTTGCTTCTTTATTCATAATCAGTTTTGAACTTTTCTTTCTTTCCCTCGTTTTACATTTCCTTTTCTTTTCTTTCCATTGTTTCTTTCTTTTTTATATCTTTACCATTTTCTTCCTTTGGTTTTCTTTTCTTTTCTTTCTTTCTTTCTTTCTTTCTTTTCTTTGCTTTCTTTATTTCTTTCTTTCTTTCTTTACCATCTTTCTTATATCTTTTTCATTTAGTCTTCATCCTTTGGTTTGATTTCCTTTTTATTATTTTCTATCTTACGCCTCTTCTCTTTGACTTTTTGTCATTTCTTTCGTTCTTACTTTCTTTATTTTACTATATCTGTTTGTTTGGGGTCATGACATAACTGTTTGAATGATTTTCTTCTTCCTAGTACTTCTCCATCTCACCACTAATCTTAATAAATACTTTCATACATTTCTTAGTGATGGCGTCTGAGGCTTACAGTAACAACAACAACATCAACAACAACAATAATAATAATAATAATAATATTCAGATCTCTGAACTGTTATTACTATGAGATTTTATAGGTTTAATAATAATAGTCATAGCTATTAATACCCGTGAAAATTTCCCGATTTTTCCTCTTGAATTTTTAATGAATATTGTTCTTTATTCAATGAATAATCCCTTTGCGAGTTCTACGATTATAAAATATTCGTGGAAATTCTTCCATTTCATCGTTAAATCTTTCAGCTTAACTTTAATAAATATTGTAATCACAACCATAAGGATGAATGTAGGTCATTATTTAAAGAAGTAAGAGGGTACAAATGAAAAGATTTGAAATTGACTAGTTTGACTACTTCAGTGTTAATGCCTTATCTAGCTTGTCTTTCTTTCCAGTAAGCATCAAAATCACTATACTTGCAAAGCAGCTTTTAATTTTAATTTTAATTTTCTATATATAGAATGTAATATGTCCAAAGTGCACGTAACACTCTAATATCACTGCCAATAATAATAATGACTAGTTTTAACCTGTGAAAAATCCCAGTTTTGCTATTTGAATTTTCTAATGAATCCTAATTCATAAGTTAATTATGTGTTCCAATTTTATTTATTCATTTATTTATTTTTTATTTTTTTTGAAGCAAAGTTTCATAGAAAAGGAAACTCTTCTGACTATTATCTGTTATGTGAAACTGTTTGTTGAGAATGTGGGTCTTTCCGCGTGGTGGACCTAAGATGGAAAAAAAGACGAGCCCGCTGTCTATTCTTTTTTTTTTTTGTATCGTCTTGGCTGAGGGGGGAGTGACGTAGGTCGTTACTAATTGGTCGCTTGTGATTTCAAGATCAGCAGTGGTAGTTACTTAATGTCTCCATTTGTTGCGAGCTTGGCGGATTTTTCTGCTTCAGGATCGCCTGCCGGAATAAGTTTCGGTAGGGTCTCTTGGGCGAACAAGTATGATGTTAGAAGACCCGAAACTTATCATGACCCCAAGTCATAACATCATTGACAGGGTGATCCTGTGTACTCGTTGGAGTGTTTTCATAACAAAGTAATGATTGAATATGCTTCTTGCAAGTTTCCTGAATATAAAATGCCTGCGAAATGTCCCCCTCTTTCAGCGTTAAATATTTGAAATTAACATTGACAAAATATTGTAAAAGAGTAGCAAATTAGTAGATAATTACTGTGCCTAGTCAGACACAAGGCTAAATTAATAGATCATCCAATACCATTGTGTATAACAGTAACGACCACTCCGTTGTATTCCCCAAGCAATGCCTTTGTTAGACTCATGCCAAGCAGAAGATATTTCTTGAATTCGTTCAACCTTGACACAGGGCTAATTGAACGAAGAGTTTCTTGAATGATGAACTCAATAACCTAAATTTGCAATACGATAAAATTATTACTCTGTCTCAGGTGATCACGTCAATTTACCTGGAGTTCATGAAGATATAATATTAGAAGTAGCTGCATTTATGGATCATCAGTTGCGTAATAAATCCCGGTTCTGCACACGAGCTATATCAAGTTCTATTCTTTCTCGACATGTGGATTCTGTTGCCCGACAACAGGGTAAACAATCAAACGGGGTGGACTTGCACTGAAGGGTAATCATGGACCCAAGCAATGATATGGAAAACGGGAGATAAAGCTTATAGAAAAGGTACGTTAATTAGCTAAAAGCGGAACGAAAAACGATACGTGTTTTGGTAAAGGTGTAAAAATCAATCGCACGACGAAATACTGTGTGTCATAAAAGTCACGCAACAATTGGCAGAAAACTGCATGATATCATCTTTCATAATTCGACCAATAAAATTTCTATTATATTATCACACACAGAAATATGATTCTATTTGGTTAAAGGATAAATATAAAATTTACAAGGATTTTCTGTGGGAATGCGACTTTTGGAAGACCCTGTACGATAATTGGAAATGTGACGTATGGTGGATTATTTAGTTTAACTATCCATTGCTTGTGGCTTTTCATATTTATCCTAGTGCTCCATTCTTGAGATCTTGTTCCAGATAAAGTTAAAATTTGCAAATATAGAAAATTGCTGCCTGATATAAAATATAAACTTTACGTTAAGCAATTCTTTGCTCATGTATTCGATTCTGGTTAAGGAAGCTTATTCTGTCCAAGATGAGATTAAACACAAAACAATAGTCCCTCCTTATTCTCGTGGGATATATTCCACAATGCTCAGCAGGTATTTGAAAGCGCAAATATAGATACTATTTTTTTCCTGCGTAATTTTTTTATGCCAAAGTGTAATATTAAAATCAATCCCAATAAAAGATTAACAATAATAATTAATAATATATACGCACAATTGTAACAAATGAAAAGAAAAGAATATTTTGTTCTTGTTCCACTTTACTTTGGAATTCTGACGGATAAGAAGAATATTTTATGAACATGTAATAAAGAGATTTATTTACACTTAAACATGAATACAACGGTTAACATAAACGCAATGTCCTTTCTTATGTCTCGACAATATGTCAGGCGGGTTTAGCCATCTGGTGGAGTGATATAGGGCCAGATAGCTTGTCTAGTCAAAGCCAGAACTAGATCCCCGATTTAGAGAAAACTTCTATAAAGATATGAGTGTTGCAAAGGAAAGCAATTCATATCAAGAGGAAAATAAAGAAGACGTTAGAGAAAGAGAGTCTGCCTAACAAACTGTTTAACCAATAATTTGTGACAAGATTTCCAGCATTAGTATTTAGGGATCGTATCTTAATACGAACGAGATATGGTGGTGTTAAAGTTAGCGGCTCGGATTGAGGAATCGGAGAGATTCCAGTCAAGTTCATCACATTCAGTTACGTGCTAATTCCATTAGCGTATGAATGCGTCTGTTCTTCTCTCCCGAGCTATGGCTTAAATAGTAAGATAGATTGGTTCTTATAGCGTTAGATGGTAACTAGTCTAGTAGAAGGAGACTCTGAATTCAAAGCGGATCCTAAAAGTATCTTTGGAGCCGAATGCGGCTACAATCCAAATTTCCCATTAAAACTCGAAATATTAGCGTCCAATGTTCCATAGGGACACGAGAGTGACTAACTAACTAGCTCAATACGTCACAATGTTTTCAAGATTTCAATGTAGCCAATGTGATCTGAATCCCAGGTGATCATGCTCTCTACAGCTTCCTATCATTCTTAGCTTTTAGTAATGTTTGTCTTTTTACAATCTCAATCCTATTGTCCTTTTTGCAACCCATTCACATAAGCGAGTCAGCTAAGTGCTCCCGCTGCCTTCACTAGAACCCCCCCCCAACTCTGGCTTTCGTGTGCCCTGTGAGTGTCAAATCCACCAAGCTCTCCTTCCTCATTATGTACCCGAGAAATTCTGTTGTTTGGTTTTGAGTACAAGTGTCTATTTTTATTTATTTATATTGTTCGGACTGCTGTCGTCATCTTTATTGCCAGGGTGAATTTGGCAATAAAGATGAGGATAACAGACCAAACAATGTAAATAATATAAATAATTACAATTATAATCAAATATAGACAGTCTAATTTTTTGTTTCTATTTCGCCGTTACTCACATTGTCCAATCCATGACATTCTCATCATCCTTCTGTAGAATCACATTTATTTTGCCTAAAGACTTATCTTCATTTGAAAGGAAATTGTCCAGTATTCCCTGTCATGACAGTTCAACAATCTTTCCGTTTGATGTATTGAAATTTGTTCCGTTGTTTAGTTTTTGGAATTAATTTTTGCTATTCCAATGTGCGATCATATTTCGGCGTCACATTTTCCATCGAAAAACTTTTCCCTAGAGAGTAAAACGATGGGGCTGTTTGATTTTGACATCTCCAATCCGTAGGTCACAACGTCGGCTGTGTTCATCTTTTTTCAAATCAACCGTTAAGTTTTCTTCCTATTGATTACTTTACAATAACTTTCTAAAATGACATTGTATTTTTCTTTTGAAAATATAGACAAAAAATATTTATTGATTCTAACATCGAAGATACATTATTTACATTATTCGGACTATTGTCCTCATCTTTGTCACCATATTTATTACAACGTTTCGGCTGTTGTACACTGAGGCCTTCTTCAGGTGAACCCTTTATCTCGATCACTGGGGTAGACTGTTCTAGTTCCACGTGACATGTTTAATGGATATCAGTTATCTCCTGTTAATTTCCCTCTGAAAGTTCTCCACTGCCTTAGCCGGGTATTGAACTCACACTCTTTGGGCCCATGTCACTAGACCTAACTAACACCTTTATCCACTGTGCCATGTGTCCTTGTAATAAATATGGCAACAAAGATGAGGACGATAGTCCGAATAATGTAAATAATGTACATAATACCTCATCCCAGGAATATAGACAGAAACATCGAAGATGTAAGAAAATTATAAAAAAAAAAAAGGTATATTTTCTTTAAAGATAGATCAACATGATTTTCAATATGGCGGTGTTACTCTAAGTCACCGAACATATCAAATGTGTTTTGCAAAGTTTAATGTCGGGGATTTTTCGTTGAATAATGCTCCACCTTCGCGTAGACAATTTGACAACGATTAAATGAAGCCCATTATACCACGCGTGTGGCAACCAACACACTCTAAATAATAAATCAAGTGTTGAGAATAATCAGCTTTGCTTTGTTGTGTGGTTTCCGAATAAACTAAATTAAATTAATTATTGGACTGTATTTCTGTGCACGATTCACTTGTTAAATATAACGAAATAGTTCTGTTTTTGGGATAGCGATGAAAAGTGAATACGTTATGATGATGTGAAACGCAACAGATCATTGTGCAAGTCGGACAATTGCTGAATGATCAAGTTCTTTTGCAACTTTTCCACTTTTTTGCCTAGGTTCACTC